ATCTTGGGACCTTATTAGTATGAAGATAAAAATGGTTCACTCAGTGTTCTCCACTGGAAGTTAGAATACATCAATTCACTGATCAGATCAGCACATCCTATTATCCCATGCCCACAGCCAACAGTGTTTAGATATCTAGAGGAACAGAGATAGCAGACACAAATTTACTTCTGAGTTTGCCCTACACTTGTGAAAACGAAAAGATTTGCCTTCTTTTGCATGGATTTTTTTTTTTAAGCACCAGAAATGAAACCCAAAGTAATTTGGTAAGATGTGTTGTTGGGTCTTTATATTTTTACCAAGTTATCTGACTACATTTCAGAGGGAGGATTCTTGTAAAAGAAGAAAACAAGGAAAACAAATGAAATGTCAGTTTTCTTCCTGCAGAGACAGGAGTGGCTCCCATTTCTACTGACACTTCTTATCTTGATTCTTTCCAAATTTTTGTAAAGACATAAGATAAAATATAACAGCTCAGAAGGCAAAGATAACATTGTAGACTCTCGAACAGGGCCCAACCTGCAGACAAGCAAAGTATTGAGAATCGGCATTTTAAACAAAAAGCCTAATTTGGGGGTGATGGGTGTGTTCAGCCAGCCCCCCACTGCGTGCTCCAAGCATCATGCAGGGAATGAAAACCCTACACTAGGTAGGGTCAATCATATCATGGATATGATGACATGATTAAAAAAAATTTCAAAACTATTACTGTATAAAGAAACAATTTCTCTAACCTTCTTAAAGTCTGTGGAGGACTATCTACCAGAATGCACTGTTTGTTAAACTAGAAAAAAAAAAAAAAGGCAGGGAAATATTTGGGAGTTCAAAAGGCTTTTTTGACATCTGCTCTGTGTGTGTGGGTGGGGTGGGGTGGTGGTGATGGTGTGAAAATAGTGTAGAAATTCCAGTACGTACAAAATCCCAGCTTTGGGCAGAGCACATAGTAGGCCTGCAGCAGTTCCTGGAGAAAGGAATCTGAAGTTTCATGACATTAGTTGAGGTCCACGTTGGTACCCGCACATTTTCCTCTTAAATTTCCTAGGTTAGCCACCTGCACCCCTTTTTGGGACTTTTATTCTAAGCAAAGGCCGGGTAGAGCAAGGGGTGGGATGTTGCTGTGACCTCCTCAGAAGGGTGTGGATCCCACCTACACACCTCCCTCCTCCCAGGTCCTGAGGAAAGTGTGGGGATGGGGCTGTGGACCCCTCTCGCTCTTCCCTCCCTGTTGGGCATCTAGACAGCAGAAAACATTGTTGTGGGCCAGCTGCCTGAGCAGGGCGGGGTCGAGGGAGAGGTCAAGGTCAGCCGAGAGGCAGCTATTGATCCGGCTTGGAACGCTAGACAGGGAGCGCGGCAAGACTAAAGGGGGAGCTGTGAGACCAGACATTAACAGCTTTCAGCGCTAATGATGCCCGTGCCAGACGGGCAGAGGGAAAAAGAGGAGACTGGAGTGGCAGCTGGGATCGCTCGGCTGCCTGAGCCAGGCCGCCTCCCGGGAGAGGAGGAGGACGACGAAAAGGAGGAGGAGGAGGAGGAGGAGAAGGAGGAGGGCAAGGAGAAGGCGGAGGGCGAAGGGGCCAGCGCAGGGCTGGGCAGGGCAGCCTTTCCCCGGCTGCCGCGAGGTGGAGCGCGCTGGCGGGCAGTGGCGTGTCGGGCCCTGTGCCTACCCGCCCGCTTGTCCCTCTTCCCGCCGTCGGGGCAGCGTGGGGCCAATGAGGAAGTGCTCTTTGGGTCAGTCCCGGCCCGCGCCGCCCCCTGCCCGCCGCTTCCTGCTGGGGGTGGAGCAGGCGTGCCCCCTCCCCAGTTCCAGTCGCCCCACAGCGAGCTACTTGGCAGCTGCAGCTAAGACCCCTGAGCTCTCCTGCGCCATCGTACCCTCTTTCCCAAGGGAGCCTCCGGGTCCGCCCCCCCTTCCGCCCCCAGCCACTGACTGGGCTCCCCTTTCCTGTAATCAACCCCGGGAGGATGAGGGTCACATGTCGGGATTTCGCGCCCAGGGCTGCAGGAGGCGCCGGGCAGCTGGCACGTGGCGGCGTTTTAAGTCCAGACCTGTCCCTGATGAGCTGTGTGTCGTTGGGCACAGTGCTAACCTTTTCTGGGCTTCACATCGCCAGGTCTCAGAGAGGTCTAATTGACCTTTCAAATTTAAGTTCAGGTGTGTCGAGATGGGCCAGTTTATGAATTTCTTAAGAAGTTTATCAAAGGTGGGTGTGGGCACTGGCTTTTTTTTTTTTCTTTCTTATTTTGGCTACTTTCCTGGAAATATATTCTTGGTGGGACGGGATGGGAAGAGAGGAGGCGCCTCCAAACTTTGGACCACGTGGAGGTGTGTGTCTGGTGGCAGTGGGCAGCTACGCGCTCTGCCCGGCGGAGGAGAGGAGGCGCAACCCGCGCTGAACCCGCGTCTCCACCAGCTCAGTCTTGCGCCCGCCGACCCTGCAGCCCACAGTCCACGAAACTGCAAGCTAGGGCACATTTTATTATTTTCGGGGAGGTGGGA